GCTTTAATATTATTATATTATATTTGCCCTCGCGATTGGTGGCTGGTGGCTTGTAGGAGTGACTCTACCTATATACAACAAGATGACAATATATGTACACTTCTTTTATCTTTGCATTCCCTTTTTAATTTTGAAAATGCTAACGAGACTTTTTTGAATTGGAACTCATTTTATAGATTTGAGAATTTTAACAAAACACTCTTGGTACTTTTTACTTTTAAAGTTAAGGACATTTTTACCTTAAAAAGTCACTCCATGTACTATTCACCTACACCTTTATTTTGTCATTTTGAATAAAACTAAAGTTTTTAAAGACTTTTCGTTAGTTTTTCTTATGAATTATCTGTCACCTCACAGTAATGTTTGATTCTCGCGCCAACGTTTTAATCTAAAATCATAGGACTTTTATTAAAAGATAGTCATTTTACTTTTTTTTTTTTATAGAATCATATTCGTCAATTTTCTTCACTACAAATAAATGTTTCAATAGTTTAAGAGTTCTCTAATTTTTGATACAGACGGGTGATATCTTTGAAAAATTTGCAAAATAGTAACTAGAAGAAAGTGTGTTAAGGGTGTGTCATCTGATCTGACCATATATATGGTATACAAAAACTTCTGTTTTATATAATTAGGAAGAAAAAGAAACATTTTGTGTTACGTGACTAGATGAGTAGCAATGTAGCATACATTTTCTATTAAAATAAGGACACTCAGCTCATAAGCTTGGGTTCCTATAAATTGAGTTCAATATAAATGTTTAACTGTTGAGTATATATAATCATGTCTTATGAATTTGATTTCAATAAATTACTGGATTGCAATTAATGAACTCACGTCACTCCAACAGCGTGCTAGAGAAATTGAACCAACACATTTTAATTTTTATATAATTAAACTCGTCATTTAAATGAATAAAATCTTTGATGTCTCACTCGTAAATTTCTAATATAACCTTCTAATTGAAACTAAACAGAAACAAAAATAATAGGTAATTTAGTAATTTCATGAACATAAATTTTACTGTTTTTTATATAAACCTCACAGCCAGGTGATGATAACATGCCCTGTTTGGAAATTCAATCTCTCGCCACATTGCTCTCGTCTCTTCCCTCTCATTCTATCTCTCTATTTTCTTCTTCCATTATCGACGTCACAGATCCGGGTCGGGTTTGGGTGGGATGGGTCTCATAGGACGGGGAACAAGATCATGAGTGGTTCGAAGGGAGGAGTGGTGGATCGAATTGTGGAGGTTCGGTCGTAGAGGGTGGGCTAGGTAGGTCGTGGAGGGGTATGCGTGTGTGAGCGTTGGATGAGGCCACCGCTTAGATGGGTTTCACTGGGCACCATTTGACATAGGTGACGGGGGGTGGAGTGGTGGTGTTGTGGTTTATTTTTTTTTTTTGTAAGCTCATTAGGTATTTTATAAATGGGGAAACTTGATATAAGTCCAATTTTTTGAGCCAAAAGTAGGAATAGTCCAGTTTATTAAAATAAGTTCAATATGTTATATTTAATTATCAATAGTTATCTGTTCAATGATAAGATTTATTATAAAAATAAAATTTCTTCCCAATTATCTCTTTGCTTATTTCTTTTTATTTATCTTTTTGTTATTTCTCGTTCTTCCTCTTACTTTAAACCCCATTTATAGATTTTATTTTTAATTTTTATAATCAACCTATATCACAGGTTAATTATATTTATCTACCTATATGACAGATTCTTTTTTTATAATCAACCTGTCACAGATTAATATGTCTTACTTGTAGGTATGTTATATTTTTTCTACCTTTTTATTAGGTTTCATATCTCACGTATAGGTATTATATACATTCATATATTTGTTACCTGAGTTAGGAAAGAATTTGCAGATAAATTTATGTCAGTATATTAGTTTTTTTTTGTTATAAGATATTAAATATATTTTTTTGGAGTTAGAAAATGCATAATATTAGAAGATTTTAATTGATTTTTAATATTTTTAGAAAATATAAAATGAGTATAAAAGAAATAAAAACATATAATTAGATAACTGGACTCACTCTTAAAAACACTCTAGGTTTTTAGATCTGTATCTAAAAGCTCCTTTATAAATTAAGGAATAAATGGATACTCATAATCCAATAAATTGAGTGACAAAAATTAAAAATTGGCACGCACATCAAGCTTAAAAAAAATATGAGTATGACAGTCGATTTAATAAGAAGGCTTTTCGCAGTGAGGCCACAAAGGATTTTCACACTCGCATTGCGTTAGGTTGTACGTATTATCAGAAGAAGGGGACATGGGGGTTTGGTTGTACATATTATCAGATAGTTACTTCTTCCACCAATTCCACGTGGTATTGCACAGTATTGTATTGTCACTGACATTACAATCTTGCATTGACATTGATATTGAAATCTTAGCGGCACAGATATTGGAATCTTTTACTTGAAACAATAAACTTTCATAGGGAAATTGACATTAGAAGTTAGCATAACAGAGCTTGCATCCATATGTATTCGTTAGTATTAAGTTTTCATTTTCTTGCCTATTAGGGTTAGATTAATTTTCTATATATATGACTTTGTAACTCCACAAAATAATAAGTCGCTCACAATGTAGTCTTTAAAATGTAGACATCTTGCCATTCGGCAATACAGTTTCTTTGTTTTTCTGTTAATGAAATAACATAATTGGTAATTCGTTTGTTTGTATGTTTGTTATGTGTACTCTGATATTCTACTAATGCTTGTGCCCTTCATTGGATTTATTTGTCGCCTCACTTACAATTAACGAACCTTTATCACCTGAACATTAGAACTAGAACTGTTCATTCTCTTTATTATCATCTAAAGATCATACGTAATAAAAAAAAAATCATTCAATTTTGGAGATCGTTTAGTCATCCATACGTGTAAAACTAATCAATGGTTTATGCATATGAATGACTAAAAGATCTCCAAGTAGAATTTATTTATTTTATTTTTATTTATTTATTTATTTTGTAGATCTGATCTTTAGATAAAGATAAAGAGATTGAACAGTTCCAATTATGTTGTTCGGGTTGTAAAGTTCGTTAATCGTAAGTGCGGGAACAAGTAAGTCCTCTCATGGGGGATACAAGCAATATCCTTTTTTTGAAAATTTCCCCTGAAAATTGACTTCAAACCCACTTTATCCCTGAAATAAAAATAACACCACTTTGCACTCTGAAAATTAAGGTTTGCTTTATCGAAATATATTAAAACAAATTGACGGATTTAATAAATGAATTACAGAGTATCTATTTATTTGCTACAATTGATTGACCAAACAACCTTAGTTTTATTTATTTTTTTAAAATAACCTTTGCAGATTGATCTATAATAATAAACGATTTCGATCATAAGAACAAAATTTAATGAATCAGAAACTAAGTGATTGAGAAAGAACTCCTCCTCGATTTTGAGGATCTAAACTCCTCTCTTTAATTTTTTGAAGTTTGGTGAAGGTAAGCATGTTTTGTATTTTTATATGTTTTTGTAGTTCTATATCTTGCAAAGAGAGAAAATATGAGAATACAAGTGGACAAAAAAATGACATCCAGCACACCAGAGGTGAAAATGCCAAGGGCTTGGAAATCTTGGGGTAGTTAGAGTTTTGAAGAGAATAATTATCTCTTTAATCCAACTCACCATCACAAACATATATGATATATCCACCTACCTTTATTTTCATCCATGCATGCATGCGGTAAGTAAAACTAAAGGATATGAAATTTCATCCAGCAATATACATCCTAAAGATAAATATACATCCCTAAAAATAGTCGATTAAATCCTGTACTTAATTGATAGATAGTCACAACCAGAGAGAGGACTTAAACTTAAACCAAAGTGGGAAAAAAAAATAAGAATAAAGAAACAATGGCATTTAGAATTCAGATTCAGACCATTTGAAACAAACAAAAAACTCTTAAACTAGTGCGACAAGCTCTTTTGCAATATGATTGCAAGGACGATCATATTGTTTGGATTAAGAATTTGTACACTTTTTCGTAGTCCTAACTTGAAATGGACTTCTCTTTGCAAATTTTGGGTTTTTATGTCTAAATGAGTGTACGGATAAATCTACAAATTGAATTGGGTTTGTGAGGGTAATTTAGTAAATATGGGTTTAAAGAGATATTGATAGTTTAATAAAAGTTAATATGGATGAAAAGAATAAATTGGGTGTAGAAAAAGATTATATAAGTTCAAATAAAATTTCTCTTTTCTTACTTGTAGTGGTAGTTGTTATAATTTCTCAAGTTTGCCTTTAGTAGCCAGGTAGTCCTGAATTTTTATCCATTATTATTTTTCTAATTTTATCATAATTTTTTATTTTTTTCTACTGCTAAATAGTTCTGACTATTTCTCAGCTCGCATTTTTTTGTGAGAAAGCAAGTTTCATTGCAATGAATTTTTGACTTTTAAACCGGCACCAACTCAGTCAATCAAATTGCATGACTTTTAAACCGGCACCAACTCAATCAATCAAATTGTATGTGTTTTGGGGTGAAAAAAAAAAAACAGGAATATACACTATATTTGACCAACAGATCACCTGTTCTGCAGATTTCTAGTAGAAAGTGTCCAAAAAAGCGTGTCTGGCGCGTTCAACGTTGGAGAAAAATGAGGGAGATGGGTACGTAGATAGATAATTGGTGTTAAAGTCATCGTTAACTTTATTGTTAACGTTATTATGTTATTGTCATTCATCCATAATATAATACAACATATACAATAATAAATAATCTAAAATATGTATCTGTTGTATAAATTATTTTCCAATTTTTTTTAACAAAAATCTTCCATCAATTTCACGTGAGATAAAATTTAAAATTTTACAAATTTGATGAAGGTGACCATTTTCGTACTGTGGATTTTTGGACTTAAAGTTCAAATTATCTGAGAAAGAAAGAGGCATCTTGGAAAAATGAAAGACAACACATCAAAGGTGAGATATTTTTGAATAGTTGCTGGAATGAGATTATAAATAGCGCCCAAGCTCGGGGGTAACGGATATGGTTTCTTTGATCCCTTTTTCTTACATGCTTTGGTGGTTGTTCAAGTTTGTCATCTCACATTTGGGTCGTCTAGTCACTGGTTTCTTGATTTGCTCATCGTTTTAGGTATGCTTAAGTATACTTAGACTTTTGTTTCAAACTTTTTACCTTGTATTTTTTTTTTTCACATATGCTCAAAGCTCAAATGACATAATCTCATTCAATAAATAGGCAGATTGAACATGGCAGCATATAGTGTTGTTGCTACAGTTCTTAACCTTAAAAACTATGATGAATGGAGTTCTCGGGTTAAGACTTACTTGATGGCAGAAGATCTTTGGGATATCGTCGAAGGCACATATAAAGAACCGCCTCTTATTGACCCCCTTCCAACTGATGTATGTTCTATGATATTCATTTTGTTTGGAAATTGGATTGAATATAAATTCATACTTATTTCATATATTCTCATTTACCTATTTTCTCTAGGGATCTTACACCAGAAGAAAAAGAAGCTGAAATTAAGGCTTGGAAGGCTGCTTCAGCTTTGCTGGAGCTGCTATATGTAGAAGGTTCAACGATCATGTTGCCTCTACTTTTGCTTGCTTATTTATTTTTCGTTACAACTCTATTTCACAAATAACCTTTGGCTACACATTCATGTGATTGAACTCTATCCGAAAATACAAATATTGACCACGAAAGATTTATGGAGTTTTAATGCGTAACTACGGAAAATCAGACTTCGTAACTAGTCAACTAAAATTCTAAAATGAACAAGAAAGAAAAAGAAAAAAGTGCTTTATCATTTAAACTTGATGAACATTCTACAGAGCCTCAAATACCTGCTATTCTCTACAATGCACAGGTTTCCGTGATATGTTAACTCCGAAGAGCCTCACCGCTCCATGATCTTGAACCGTCCTTAGAGGGTCACTGACCCTACCATGCATCTCTCTGATCCCCGACATGTCGAGGTTTCTAAGTCTACAGTAAATGAACATCTTCTTATCCTCCCCTACCGATCTCTCAAACCTCACAACATCACCAACTTTCAGCTTCTTCTCCTTCACAAAACGAATCCACCCTTTGCTCAACACGTAACTAGCTCTGACTACTACTCCAATAACAATATCCAAATCTCCACACTTTCCCCACCTCATCCTCAAATTTCAACAAGACCCCTTTGCCAAACCCTATATTCAGATGAACCTGAAAATGCTTCTCGGCATGTTGTTTTGGTATAACCATGCGGTTCAATCTCCCTACGTCGCTTGGTGTTGCCACTTTCTCGAAGAGCAACTCCCTCCAGCTACTACACGTGTCCCTTAAATCAAGGTAATGCTTTCCACCATCATCAAGGCCTACGGCACCACCATTGTACAACTTATACTTGTAAATCTCGAGCTCGTTGGCATAAGAATGTTTTCGAAGCATGTCAACGATCTCAGCCTTGGAATGGGACTCCAAGAAAAGAGCCTCGATGACATCACGTTCGTAGGGTTTCATTTTGTTTCGACTGTTGTTTGTGATGGCATCAAGACCCCGGAACTTTAGCGAGGCAATGTCGTAGGTTTGGCAGCTTCTTCTTCATCGTTGAAGGTTCCCAACCCCACACGATGACTCTTCTCGTATATTTGAGCTCCCCATCCTCCATTTGACTGGAGCACTACTCCTTTGTACCTAGAAGAAGGCATGCAACTTGTTTGGACTTGCACCATTTGCTCCATTCCTTGTTGAGTAATCACTAGGATGGGAAGATACCCACGGATATGAATAATCGCAGTTACCCGTCCATATAAAATTCACGAATACAGTTATAGGTAACCGTTTAAACAAATACACGGATACAGGTATAACTATTTACCCGTGAAATATAAATGAATGATTATTGGTATTACTTGCGGTTACAAATGGACATCCATTTAACCGTTTGTTTTAATATTTGTAAATTTTTTAAAAATTAAAATTTCACGGGTAAACAAACGGTGATGGGAGTCTGGGAGAGCTTGAATAGTTTTTAGGCTTTTAAATTTTAATTTTTTAAAATTTTACAAATATTAAAACAAACGATTAAATGGATATCACCTCGGGTAATACCCATAATCATCCATTTATATTTCACGGGTAAATGGTTATACCTGTATCTGTGTATTTGTTTAAATGATTATCCATAACCGCAATCGTAAATTTTATATATATGGACGGATAACTGCGATTATTCATATCCGTGGGTATCTTCCCATCCTAGTGAATACTCAACAATGAATGGAGCAAACGGTGCAAGTCCAAACACGTTGCCTGCCTTCTAGGTACAAAGGAGTAGTACTCCAGTCAAATGGAAGATGGGGAGCTCAAATATACGAGAAGAGTCATCGTGTGGGGTTGGGAACCTTCAAGGATGAAGAAGAAGCTGCCAAAACCTGCGACATTGCCTCGTTAAAGTTCCGGGGTCTTGATGCCATCACAAACAACAGTCGAAACAAAATGAAACCCTACGAACGTGATGTCATCGAGGCTCTTTTCTTGGAGTCCCATTCCAAGGCTGAGATCGTTGACATGCTTCGAAAACATTCTTATGCCAACGAGCTCGAGATTTACAAGTATAAGTTGTACAATGGTGGTGCCGTAGGCCTTGATGATGGTGGAAAGCATTACCTTGATTTAAGGGATGCGTGTAGTAGCTGGAGGGAGTTGCTCTTCGAGAAAGTGGCAACACCAAGCGACGTAGGGAGATTGAACCGCATGGTTATACCAAAACAACATGCCGAGAAGCGTTTTCAGGTTCATCTGTGTGTAGGGTTTGGCAAAGGGGTCTTGTTGAAATTTGAGGATGAGGTGGGGAAAGTGTGGAGGTTTAGATATTGTTATTGGAGTAGTAGTCAGAGTTAGTTACGTGTTGAGCAAAGGGTGGATTCGTTTTGTGAAGGAGAAGAAGCTGAAAGTTGGTGATGTTGTGAGGTTTGAGAGATCGGTAAGGGAGGATAAGAAGATGTTCATTTATTGTAGACCTAGAAACCTCGACATTTCGGGGATCAGAGAGATGCATGGTAGGGTCGGTGACCCTCTAAGGACGGTTCAAGATCATGGAGCGGTGAGGCTGTTCGGAGTTAACATATCACGGAAACCTGTGCATTGTAGAGAATAGCAGGTATTTGAGGCTTTGTAGAATGTTCATTAAGTTTAAATGATAAAGCACTTTTTTCTTTTTCTTTCTTGTTCATTTTAAAATTTTAATTGACTAGTTACAAAGTCTGATTTTCCGTAGTTATGCATTAAAACTTCGTAAATTTTTGGTGGTCAATATTGGTATTTTTGGATAGAGTTCGATCACATGAATATGTAGCCAAAAGGCTATTTGCGAAATAGAGTTGTAACGAAAGATAAATAAGCGAGCAAAGGTAGGGCAACATGATCTTTGGACCTTCTACATATAGCAGCTCCAGCAAAGCTGAAGCAGCCTTACCATTTCTGTAAAGGCCGACCCACGAAGCCAATCCGACGACTCGGTTTCCTGCCTCTCGATCCGCTTTTCTGCAGATTTTTCAGGTGCATTTTCTGGCGGATTCGATCTCGACCACCACCTCCTTCGACTCGTCTCAGTACCTTGAACAAGAACCCGCCAACGCTTGCCCTGTTTGACCACTGTTCACGGCGAGGTGAAGCTCGACTTTTTTGAGTTCCCTAATGGCAAACTTGCCGTCTTCTTTCATTTAGACATTTTGTCGAACACTTAGTATAAATTTATTGATGTCTTACGTGTGAAAATAAATAATTTTCTTATATGAAGTTATGCACATTTTTTGACATCGCATCAGACCCCAAAAATCTCTAGACTGACCCTATCCATATGATGTCAATTGAACATATATATCCACACGTATGTGTGTGAAAAACTAAACCAAGGAAAAACAAATAATAAAACAAAAGGAACTTGAACAAACTAACTGGCATACCTAATATAAATTTGAACAACCAACCACCAAGATAAGTAAGAAATAAAGGCTCTGGGAAACCATATTACCCAAGCTCTGAGCCTTGGTGCCTTTTATAATCTCATTCCAACCAAAAAAAAAATAACACAAGGGTGTAATCTCACCTTTGATGTGTTGTATTTCTTTTTTTGGTCCACATGTGCCATTATCTTATCTCTTTACTGAAAACCCCTTTTTTTTTCAAAAGGTATTTCTTGTGTAAAATGGTCACCATGAGAGATTTTTTTCCGGTAAAGAAATTGGAGAAATTCTCATATGTGCTCGAAATACTTGTCATCTGATTTACCATTTTATATATTTTTTTACTTATTTTTAGGTACCCTTTCTTAAACTCAATTAAAATACAGAACCTCATTTCCAAAATACACTCATCGACGTCATCGTATAATTCGGAATCGCTTAGCAATTAGAATCTCATTTCCAGCTTTAGATAAAATGTTCACCCTCCCAACCTTGTATGTTAGCCTCAAGACGCTCTTTCAAATTTGGAACCATTTTGCTTTTGTTCTTCCCTGCAATTGTAGGTAAGCCCAAGTACTTTTCATGATAAGGCATCACTGACACGATTAGCAGCATCCTTATTTCTTCCCGAAACTCACTTGGTGTTGGTGGGCTGAAACACCGTAGATTTATCATAATAAAATTTTAGGAAACTAATAAGAAGAGTTTTAAAATTTTGGATTTTAATCAAAATTATCTAACAACTTTATTTAATAATAAGAACATAACAAAACCCAAAAAAAAAAAAAAAAAAAAAAAAACTAACGAGAGCACGTATGTCTCACTCCATTGAATGGGTAGAACCGTCATATGCCTCGTTTTCCACTGAAAGGGTTTACAATTTTCTCACCTGCATCAGTCTATCTTACAATCCCTCCCCAACGAACATGCTGTCAAACCGGTCTCCGGCTTCCAAATCCCACGTCATCAGTCAACTATATGTTACCATACATCCCCAAAAAGATTAATATATAACCAAATCTTAGCGGCCTAATTGTGTTTCCCAGCTAGTAGCCAAAGGCAATGAAGGTGGAGGAGCAGGAGGAACAGTTCCAGTTGCTGGGCCCTGGTAATTAGGGTTATGATTCTTAGGAAGGATGGGTGTGTCTCAGTCTGCCATTACTGATTTCACTCTCTGACTCCAAGCTCCCCTGAATCTCAAAGATAGAGAAAGAGTGGGCGCGTGCGTGACGACGGACGAGACTCGTAAGAGTGTATTCTCCAGTACTCTTCCGCTGCGTCTGTGTATATCAAGTGTGTTTGTGTTTGTGTAGTTGCATTTAGGCAGAAATGTGGCTGCCCATTCACTTTCATCCTCCTTAGTCTTTCTTTCTTTCTTATTTATTTCACTTTCATGCATCCAGATTTCAAAGAAAAAAAAATTCAACTTAAAGGGTTTGCTTTTGGCCCAAAGCAAAAAAAGGAAGGCATTTTTTTTTGTAATTTTTTTTTTCAATATGCTACACAATGAATTATCTGTGCTCAGTTTCAGAAATACTATAGTATTTATGTTCAGTTTTAGAAATAGTCGATGTTTAGTTTAAGAAATAGTGATAGTATGTTCAGTTTTCAGAAATAATCAGTATTCAATTTAAGAAATAGTGTAGTACTCGTGTTTACAAATGGGCTGGTCCGAGGCCCCTTTTTCTGTACATCTCGAACCGGCCCACCCCGTTTCTCTTATTAAAAAATTAAAACCGACC